AATTTATCAAATTAAAGAGGATTAAAAAAATTACTGTTGGAATATTTTTAAGGAGGGTTGCCACCTATTTGAAAATTTGAACTCAGTTAAATTGATAAAATAAATGAAATATTGCAATATGGGTACCAAACTAAAGAGTTTTAAGAAGACTTACAGCCGAAAATATGTTTGAAGAGGTTTGCCACCTGTTTGAAAATATAACTCCATTAAATTAATAAATTAAATGAAATGCTAAAATATGGGTGCCAAACGAAAAGTATTTGAGGAATCTTGATTTGGAAATACTCTCAATAGAATTGTGCAATATGTAAAAGTAAACTGAAAATATTTGAATTAAATGAAATATTACATAACTGGTTCGAAACGGAAAGCGTTTGGGAAAGCTTTATTAGAAACATTTTTTATTATTGTTTTCACATATCCAAATCTGGACAGTTTAAATGAAGGGAGAGTTTACAACATCTTATCAAACGAGGTGATCATATTATCAACGAAGAGTTGGTATACAAATTACGGACAGAAAAAAATTAATAAAAAACCACTGATACAAATGAAAAAAATTATAAAAGGCATAACGGAAACATAAAGATATCCCATGAAATGAAATAATGAAAACTTAAAATTGTTATCACCATTACCTTACATTAACACAGTTAACAATTAAATTTTAATCATAAACAATTTCGTTTTGGGGTCGCCATAGCCTACTAAGTATATTGCGATTAACGAAATTTTGAATAACAATAGATAAGACTATTATGATTATGATTATTATTACTATTGTGAACTCCTATTATATGCGCAAAAACATTCCCAAATTAAAGCCAAAGCAGAAGAGCATTTACGATCGCATGATGCAAGTGTTAACATAATAAGAGCTGCAGAACTTAACCACTCAGGAACAATTTTTACAAGCACGTGTAATTTCTGGCGTGTGCCGGGGACATCGACATCATAGGTAACAAAAACCTCGAAGTCTGTTCTGCCTTTGCCAAGTTGGATAAGAAACGACAACAACATCAAATAAACAGTCAGGGAATTTGCACCTTGGCACCCACGTCACTGTTGCCAGTTGTAATTTCGAGAAAGTAGAGAATTTAGTTTACTTGGGAACCACCATTAACACCGATAATAATGTCAACATGGAAATCCAACGCAGAATCACTCCAGCCAACAAGTGCAACTTTGGACTGTGTAAGCAATTCGGGAGTAAAGTTCTCCCTCGACGTACAAAAACCACACTCTATAATTCACTCATCATGCCCGGGCTGGTTTATGGCGCAGAAGTTTAGACAATGACAAAATTCGATGAGGCGGCTCTTGGAGTATTCGAGAGAAAGATCTTACTTAAGATTTACAAGTCTCTCCGCCTTGGCGACGAGTAGTCTCGCAGACGATGGCATGATGAGTTGTATGATCTTTACAACGAAATTGACATAGTTCAGCGAATGAAAATACAGCGGCACCATTGGCTTGGACATGCCATTCGAATGGGAACCGAACTTCCAGGTCTGAAAGCATTCAACTCGCAATCCGCTGGTGGTACCAGAGGAATGGATAGACCAATTGGAGAAGGATTTGGCTTCACGTGGCATTTCCAATTGACGTCAGTTGCCAGAGAGAAACGAGTGACGTTCTTTGTCGAGCTCGGCCAAATGGCTTAGGCGGTTCCCGCGCCAAATAAGAAGGAGAAAATGGTATCTGGGGACCTTATTCTTGGATGCACCAAGAGGAACTAGGAAAACATTCCTTATCAGATTGATTCCGGGGACGGTTCCTTCAAAAAATTACATAAGCTGAGCTAGGGCTTCGCCTGCCATTTCTGCGACATTGTTAAAAGTGAAAGAATTGCTAATTCAGCAATCTCACGTGCAATATTTCCAGAACATCCGGTATGGAAAAAGTATTACAAAAATTTTAACTCATTGTTTGGGATGAGTGTACCATGGCACACAAAAAATTGCTTGAGGTTTTTGATCGATTGTCGCGAGATTTGCATGGAAACGTTTAACCATTCGGGAATGCATTGATGTTGCTCTCAGGAGATTTAACGTAAACATTGCCTGTAATTTCTCGATTAACACTACCGGGCGAGATAAATGCTTGCCTGAAATAGTCAACATTGTGGCAAGGCGAACATTCATACACTGCAGCCGAGGTATTCTCGCGACAATTACTGGACAATGGGAACAGAAAGGTGCCAGTCAATGAGAGGGTAAGACGAATTTTATTGCCTGATAATTTTGTAACTTAGAAACATCGAAAGGAGAACTGAACGAAAGAATGTTTCTTAATTAGGAAAATTAATTATAGGCTCAGTTAACGAGCTATTCTTGCTGCGAAGAATAAGGATGCCTATCACCTAAATAACAGTCGTTGCTTGAGCTGATCTGCTCTTTCACCAGACTGCCAGGCCACTTGCTCCCTTTGGTGAACACCACTAATGTTATTCAATGCAGCATTCAAAGTCAAGAAATAACCTATACGTCGATAAACACCGTTCTGGAAAAAGACGGTGTAGTTATTATCCAACGGAATTTTTGAACTGGATTGATCTTCAAGGGATGATGGCGCATACTGAAATTGAAAATAGGTGTGTGTGTTAATCAGCCGAAACTCTTCAACTGCACGCGACTAGCAGTAACGACATTGATGAAGAACGTAGTGTAAGCAGTAATTTTAACGTGGTCTTTCAAAGGTGAAGAATTCCCATGATTCCGACCGATACACAATTTCAATTTAAAAGATTGCAATTCCCAATTCTATTGGCATTCGGAATTGCAAACAATAATGCCCGTTTCGTCAAACCATATATTCTTGATATCTATGCAGAGAATGCCAAACGATATTGTGTGCACACAAGTACTTATTACAAAATCAAACTTATATGAAACGTATACTTTGTTTTGTTAATCATTTATCATCTATGCAACAGGAATATGCCACAGCAAAACGTGGCAGGGTACGGCTAGTTGACAAATACATAGTTTAGGAAGAGCCTGTCTGAAACTATACAATAAAGCAAATAAGCAAATGGATGTATAGAATTGACAACAACAACCACGCTGTCAAGTTTAAATATCGGCAAATCAGCTGCACTTGATAGTAGTTGGTTGAATAAGGAAAATAAATTAGCAACAGGAGTTCACGGGGTGTACATGACTCATTGGCTAACGCTTCTGACTTTGCACATCGATTACGCAGGTTCGATCCCTGCTGAAGTCTAGAAAAAAGAAGTCTGATGAGATGTGGAGATCTCCGAAATAGCTGCTTTAACTTTTACCGCTTATACTTTGTTGCTTTCGCAATTTTCCTAATAAACAATCGCGGTACAAAGCTCAATAAAAATATTAAGAAAAAACAAATTATATTTTTTTTAAATGCTTCTCAAAAATACTTTATATGAGGGGGTGTACGGCGAACCTTTTTTTCCGATACGTTCTACTGTACATGTTTCCGCAAGGGTTGCAGCATTTGGATTTTTCGTTTCTCGTAGCGTAACTACGAATTACGAAAATTCGAGTTGTAGAATAAGGGGGGTATATACATACACAAGGCCGTATTTAAGGCAAAATGAGCTTTTAAAAAAGGAAAAAGAAGGTCATTTATTTTTTAATTTTGTAATGTACAATGTGCATGTGTGTAAAAAAATACATACAGCGCTGAAAAAATTATGGCCGAACCACTTTTTGCCAAGTTTTAACGAATTATTTTTGTTCTTATTTAATTTTGATGATTTTTTTATAAAAATATAGTTCATTCTTTAAAAAAACCCCGTGTAAATCCAAGTTTCCAACTTTGTGCAATATTCTTTGGTGGTAATAAATAAGTGAAAATGAAAAAGCACAAAAAAGCATACGTTACTTGCAAATTATAAAATAAATATAAATTTTAACAATTTCAGCATGACACCGAAAATACAGCTTTCCCACGGGCGTTTGTTTGGTGTTTCAACTGTCAAAATTTTACTTTTCATTTGGCACAGAAAATTTCAATTTATACGTACACCATGGAAAATTGTTCCATACCGTCTCAGCACGGAGAAAAATGTTACCGATTGGTACACAGCAATAGCCGTGGATTTTCACGGAATTATATCAAGCGGCCTTAGGCCTTTCAAATATCCGTAAACGAATTCCAGTGTTATAATGAAAATGAAGAGATAAAAATTAAAAAGGCAAAACGTGCAGAAAAAGGCAAAATTAAAATTAAAACTTTTAATCGAGGAATACATGAAACGTGTGATTCTTTTATTTGTATAAAGATACGACCAAACAGACAAAATAGGCAAATGCCTTAAAATCCTAACCCTGATAATAACTATTCCTTATGGGAAAGTAATTAGGTTTTACACTCCACTGACGTGTTAAAAATGCAGCAGGTGCGTCACTTTTGAAGAAATAGAGTTTTTATATTTTCTAGTAATATGTTCTGTAAACTAGAGGGTTAATATGTGGTGAATCACGATTGGTAAGCACTTTTCGAAATTCACCCCATACCCTCTAGAACACATTACTTTAACCTGGGCATGTCATTGGAGGTAAGCGAGGAGGTAATGCTTTCCCACTGGATTACCTGTAATGTGAGAAAGTGAAATATTTTGTCTTGAGGCGTATTGTAACGGGTTACTCCAACGATACAAAAAGTAAGCGCTTACCAAAAAAATAAGAGTTTTTGCTAGGAGGTTAAATAAATTTGGTTAGTACAGTTTCTATTGGAGCAGTAATATCTTTAAGATTACTTTTATTTTTTGTTGTTTATGTGAAATATTGTATTTTTATTAGTATTTTTCTTTTAATGAAACTATGTTAAAATAAAAGTGAAAAAAAAAATATTTTGTCAGAAATGATATATCTTGCCCTCATTTGATTAAAAGGAAAAAATATTTCACATAATTTGATTTATTTGCAACAGCTGACGACCGACGCACGCGATCTTTCTGCTTTGTGTTGGCCTTAGCGTTGCCAAATTTTGGCTATGTGGACGGCTGCATTGAAATTCAACGCCAACGCAACGCCAAAGTTGTATGTAAACCGGCCATATGTCCTTGAACAACGGGCATGTAAAGGGATGTGTAAACATAACTCTCTCTGCGAAGTCGTGTTTTTTAAAGCTCGCAAATTAATACTCAAAATTATCGTACAGTGCCCGTGGAATTATACCAAAGGTGCAAAAAAGTGCGCGAATACACCACCGCTGGTGACTTTGTGCCTAGCGAAGGTTCCCCACCGAAAGTGGCGGTTTTTATCGTGACTTATTTGTGCAAATCCAAACAAAATCTCTGGATATTACTATATAAGCAAAGAGAGAGAGAGCGAGAGAAAAGTGCGCGGCACATTTGTTGTACACTCAAACAGAGGGGCAAATAAAGAAGTGTCAACATCAAGTGTATACAAAGTTGTCAAAACGCAGAAAAAAGTACTGTCAAGTGGAAAAGCGAGATTTCACACCTCCTGTATGGACACTAACTCACCACGGTATGGTGGAGTGCATGGTGAAACCCAGTTTAAAATGGTTGAGAAACATACGAGCCCTAGCAAAAAAAAAAAAGTGTGAGAGAAAGTATGAATTCCCCAGGTAAGTCTGCATACCCTTTTCGTAGGTGTCCAAAAATACCGCGATCACCAGATCGCATCCATTCACCTGCATTGCAAGCTGCGCAGCAATCTACTGACAATGCCGCTGCCACCCAACTGCATAGTGAGCTAAATGACAACGTTGTCGATCCGTCAGCAGTTGGGAGTGAGATAGGGAGTGCAACTTGCTCTCAATTAAATGAAGTGAGTGAGCGACCTGTAGCGATAAGAGATATGGAGGTCGTAAACAAACTGAAAGACACACAAACTATTAGTATGGTGAGAGCAAAGATTGAGGAGATGAGTAGGTTGATGAACGGGCAACGTCACGTAAATCAATGAAGAATTTTNGTGTTGGCCTTAGCGTTGCCAAATTTTGGCTATGTGGACGGCTGCATTGAAATTCAACGCCAACGCAACGCCAAAGTTGTATGTAAACCGGCCATATGTCCTTGAACAACGGGCATGTAAAGGGATGTGTAAACATAACTCTCTCTGCGAAGTCGTGTTTTTTAAAGCTCGCAAATTAATACTCAAAATTATCGTACAGTGCCCGTGGAATTATACCAAAGGTGCAAAAAAGTGCGCGAATACACCACCGCTGGTGACTTTGTGCCTAGCGAAGGTTCCCCACCGAAAGTGGCGGTTTTTATCGTGACTTATTTGTGCAAATCCAAACAAAATCTCTGGATATTACTATATAAGCAAAGAGAGAGAGAGCGAGAGAAAAGTGCGCGGCACATTTGTTGTACACTCAAACAGAGGGGCAAATAAAGAAGTGTCAACATCAAGTGTATACAAAGTTGTCAAAACGCAGAAAAAAGTACTGTCAAGTGGAAAAGCGAGATTTCACACCTCCTGTATGGACACTAACTCACCACGGTATGGTGGAGTGCATGGTGAAACCCAGTTTAAAATGGTTGAGAAACATACGAGCCCTAGCAAAAAAAAAAAAGTGTGAGAGAAAGTATGAATTCCCCAGGTAAGTCTGCATACCCTTTTCGTAGGTGTCCAAAAATACCGCGATCACCAGATCGCATCCATTCACCTGCATTGCAAGCTGCGCAGCAATCTACTGACAATGCCGCTGCCACCCAACTGCATAGTGAGCTAAATGACAACGTTGTCGATCCGTCAGCAGTTGGGAGTGAGATAGGGAGTGCAACTTGCTCTCAATTAAATGAAGTGAGTGAGCGACCTGTAGCGATAAGAGATATGGAGGTCGTAAACAAACTGAAAGACACACAAACTATTAGTATGGTGAGAGCAAAGATTGAGGAGATGAGTAGGTTGATGAACGGGCAACGTCACGTAAATCAATGAAGAATTTTTTAGCTAGCGCTGCTAAACTATGCAAAAGCATTGAGAATGATGCAAAAACAATTAGTAAGGGAAATACGGAGTCGAAAAGAACTCAAACTGGCCCAACAATTGTAGCCAAAAACCAAACGAAGCGTAGCAGAGCTTCAAAAGAAGGCGGTCTTATATCCGAAAATCAGGCTCAACCAATAGGGAAACGGTCGCGTTTTTCTTTCCCTTGCGCTGACGAAACCGGTCAGTCACGCACAAACCCTACTGGTCGGGATGAGGCTAATGAAATTTCGAGTGGTCGTCCTGATGATGGCGGGCAAAATATCTGAGCAGACAAAGAGGGTTGGACCAAGGTGGAGAAAAAGCAAAAGCTAAATCCAAAAAGAAAGATGGTTCGCGCCGATGCCATCATTGTTAAAAGTACAGTGGATTGTTCATATGTAGACATTTTAAAAGTGGTTAAAAGTCAGGACAGCCTCAAGGACTTCAGTGCATCAGTTCGTAAAATGCGGAAAACAGCAAAGTGGGGCTGCTGTTTCAACTCGGAAGAACATCGGACCAAAATACCACAAAACTAAAAACTGCAGTAGGCCAACTACTATCTGGAAAGGCTGAGGTGAAAGCGCTAACAAAACAAACGCTGGTTGAAATTCACGATATTGATGAGATCACATCCGGGCAAGAAGTAGTGGAAGCCCTCAATTCCTTACATAGTGACATGAATTTTAAGAACTCAGACATCCGCTCATTGAGAAAAGCCTATGGTGGTACACAAACTGCTTCACTCTTGTTGCCCATTGACACAGCCAGGGCTCTAATTGAAAAACGAAAAGCCCGGATCGGGTAGGTGATATGCCGTATTCGTGAAAAAATTCAGATCACACGTTGCTACAAATGTTTAAACGTGGGCCACATCGCGAAAAACTATTAGAGTACAGAGGAAGAGCATATAGCCAAAATATGCCAAAACCCAGTGAAGTGCGTATTATGTGCAAATAAAGACCCAAGCCGAGCAAATCACCACACCGGAGGCGTGAAATGTCTTTTTTATCGGGAGGCTGTCCGTAAACTACAAAGACCATGAGAGTACTCCAATTGAATTTGAACCGTTGTCAGTCCGCTCAAGACCTACTAGGGCAAACTGTAAATGAGTTAAGCGTAGACATTGAAATCCTCAGTGAACCTTATAAACACAGAGAGAGAGAGGAAAGCAGCAATCTGGTTATGTGGACAAAAGCCGAGTTTTATTCAATGTGTAGTCTCCGAAAACTGCTTTGTATGCGCTAAACTTGAAAATTTGTATGTGTATAGTTGCTATATACCACCGAGCACTCCCCTTGCGGCGTTTGAGGATATTGTCAACAAACTCTGCCTGGATGCCAGAGGGAGAAGTAATGTAATTATAGCTGGCGACTTCAACGCATGGGCGCAAGAATGGGGCTGCCCTAGAACAAGTCCACAGGGCAAAGCGCTTTTGGAAGCATTTGCGTGCTTGGACGTCGTCCTCTTAAACACGAGTACCGAATACACCTTCAACCGCTACGGATATGGATCAGTTATTGATCTGACGTTTGCAAGCAAGGGGCTGTCCCGGCATACAAAGTGGAAAATTAGTGATTGTTTTACGCAAAGCGACCACTCGGCAATAATATGCGACTTAAATCAAGGTAGGGTCAGTACCCAGCAGGAGATTCGAATGCCCACTTTTTTCAGGATGGAAAGTTGCTTCACTGGACGTGGACGTATTCGTAGTAAAGCTACCTGCACGTGATTACGAAGGGTCGGCAGAAAACATGGCGAAACAACTAATGGCAGACATTAGGGCTTCATGCGATGCGGCAATGAAAAGGCGGCCCACACTCAGACCACACAACACTGTTTATTGGTGGAACAACCAAATAGCATCTCTAAGGACGCGCTGCCTTCAAGCCAGGCGGCGTTTTCAATGTTCCAGAGGAAGACAAAATTTCGAAGAAAGGCGAGAAACGTACAAGAAAGCACGTACTGCCCTTAAAACCGCTATTAAAGACAGTAAGCGCCAGTACTTCCTAGAGCTGTGTGACGGTGCGGAAGGAAATCCAATGAAAGCTACTACAGCCCCCACACCAAAGTGTCCCATTTTTCTAAAGACTGTGGTTGAGACGTTGTTCCCCAAACAAAGGCCGCTCGTTTCCCCAGTGAAAACCGAGATGGCATTATCGTTTGAACGGGTAACAGCAACAGAAGTATTGAATGAAGTAGAAAAAATAGACGACAAGAAAGCACCCGGGCCCGACTGTGTACCTAATAAAGCCCTCAAACTGGCAGCAAATCATCTAACTGATTCCTTTGTGGCAGTTTTCAACGCATGTTTCGCGGAGGGCGTTTTTCCATCTATCTGGAAGCAACAAAAGTTAGTCTTGCTGCTTAAGCCAGGTAAACCAACAGACGATCCTACCAGCTTTAGACCAATTTGTCTACTTGATACAGCTGGTAAGATTTTAGAGCGCGTAATAGCCAACCGCTTAGAGACAGAAGTTTTAGCTAAGGGAGGTATCTCACCCAACCAATACGGCTTCAGGAAAGGTAGGTCTACAGTGGATGCAGTATCGGCGGTGATTCAGTTAGCTAGGAGTGCAACCTCTGGTTCGCGATGGCTCGGGGGCTCTAAGCAGTACTGCCTTATTGTTACCCTTGACGTTAAAACCGCGTTCAACTCGGCAAACTGGGCAAAAATATTGGACACGCTGGATCGTTTGGGGGTATCTAAATACCTAAGTCGCCTAATAAGAAGTTACTTCCAGGACCGAATCCTGTGGTATGAAAGTGCACATAGCACGAAAAATCTTGAAATAACTGGTGGTGTTCCATAGGGGTCCGTCCTAGGCCCGCTTCTGTGGAATATTATGTACGACGGTGTTCTAGGTGTAAAAAAATCAGAAGACGTAACGTTTAGAATTAGCGAACACGAAATTTCAACAAAACCGGCGATAAAGTGTTTGGGAATTCTGATCGATAAAGGGTTGACGTTCAAAGTGCACTTAGAATATATACAAAAAAATCGGATGTGACAGTGTCAGCACAATCACGAATAATGAAAAATGCCTGAGGCCCTAAACAAGCAGTAGGAAGCTTCTGGAAGGAGTCGTAAAAAGTCAGATTATGTATGGTGCTCCTGTATGGCATCAAGCGGTGTTCCACTGTTCATACTATCGTGGTCTAAATGCAACCTATTGTTTATGTGCACTACGTGGTTGCAGCGCGTTTAAAATGGTTTCAAACGATGCGGCGTTCGTGATATCCGGTCTGCTTCCAATTGACATCTTAACCAAAGAATCGGTCATGTTGTTTTCAAGCCAAAGAGAGGAGCTCCAGAGAACCCATCACGGCAAAACAGCCTGTTAGAATGGCAACGCAAATGGAAAAGCTCAACTAAGGGGCGATGGACGCATTGCTGTATTCCGGATATTGAACGATGGACAAAGAGGTCTCATGGAGAAGTAGAGTTCCATCTATCGCAATTTTTAAGCGGCCATGGCTGTTTCCAGGCGTACCTTTACAAATACAAACACGATAGTGATCCGTACTGTGACTTCTGCGGAAAAGGCACCATCGAAGACCCGATTCCCACGATTCAGCGAACAGAGACATAGACTCAAACAGTATATCAATGCAGCACTGTCTCCAGAAGCTGTAGTAAATTATATGCTGAGAGGTAGAGAGGAATGGAGTTTAGCCAGCAGTGAAATAGCGTCAATTATGAAATATTTGAGATGAGGTATGTAATGCAAAAGCGCGGATTGGAACCCAGGTACCAACCGCCAAGGCAATGCGGCTCTGAAATTCGCGAACCCGAAGAGCATGAGCGGATTTGAACCTAGCGCGTTCCAGCCGTCAAGGCAGGAGGCTTAGAAACTATGCTTTCAAACCGTCTCCCCAACATAGCGTCGGCGCGGGTTGGAACCTAGAGTTTTACTATCATTAAAACGTGGCAGAACCTATTAGGTACAGCCCAGGACTGAGTAAATTTGACAGGAACGTACGTGCGAGCTTAGTGCCTCCCGACGGAATACTTGACGGTGGTACCGGGGGGATCCGTACTTGGACAGTAGGAGGTTTAGTTCGGGTTAAAGTCCCACACTGACAGGTACAGGCTTTCAATGCTTCCTCCTCGTAAAAAAAACATGTTATGTATGTACATATTTATGTACTAAAAAATATTGTTTTAAATAATCTATGCGTATGTATGTAAATAAATTTTATTTGTTGATTAAAATGCTGCCCTAATATAATATTCACATATTTATATGAATATACATTATACATTAAATACATACATATATCAACATATTTTCGTACATAATCTATTGAGATATGTACATTCACACAATTTTATGCCCAAAAAGGCATGTGTTGTATAGTACACTCGGAGCGCTCGCTCGTCGCTCACTCGTCTTACCTAGCCGAGCGAGTATGCAGACAGCTACTCGCCTCGGCACTAGTGTTGATATTTGAGATTTTTAAATTTTACTAAATTAACGACAAAAACTGTAACTTCTTGAGCTTAATTGTACTTTTCACCATTTCCGTCAAAACATTACCTCCCGTTTTCCTTCAATCAAACATAAACCCAAGGTACATTGAACAGGTAGTATCAGTAGAGCAGCTGATTTGATTTATTTTCAAATTATTTGGTCTCGAAAATGTCAAATATTTTTAATTTTTTCTCACGAAAATTCTAAGTTATTAAAATCCATTTGCTTGTGAAACCTTTTTCCATACAAAACAAGCGATTGAATAGCAGCTTTTGGAACGTTCGCCCAACTCGGCAGCACGACCGCTGATTACTGGGCCTTGCAAAGGATGGATCAATGCTTCGAGAAGCAAACAAATTTACTAGGAAAGAAAGTTGCATCAATTTTTATTTTTTCCAATTTCAATTTTTTATTTTTTATAATTTTTTGTATTTCACATGGCACGCTTTGATTTAGAAGAAAAAATTCAGAACAGTTGTTGACACTTTCGATACCAGAAGCAACAACAAAATACACGCAAATGTTGTTTTTGCTCTACTGATACTACCTGTTTAATGTGCCTTGCATAAACCATATTTTTGTCTCCTACAGTAAGTTTACATATCTTTCAGTTCATTGTATAGCTTCAATTGGTGAAGACTTAATTTAACGTAACATATCATTGAGATCTCTCCAACTAGCACATAAAATCATAGCCAGTTTTGACAGAAAGTCCCACTAAAATTCATTAAGTTTACAGTTTAACTTAAGTATACACAAATAATTTCTTAAATCGTATTCCACATTTTAAAAAGTACACCAGCGTTAAAATTCTACGCTCACCCAGTT